TTTATTCTCAAATATTATCTTCTCAACTCTAGAACATACACCCTCCAACCTTTGGACAATGATTTATATCATTTTGTCTTAATTAAAAAATGAATGTTTTAAACCACATGTGGGTTGTATTCTAAAAAGTTCTTTAATAAATTCTAATTTAAAAGATCTCAGCCGGTGGTTTCTACGTAATATAGTTGAAACGGCATGAATCCTACTAGCTGAAACTATAGCACTTTTAAAACGCTAATCCCTCCTACTTCTTCTAATCGCTACTGTATGCTTATGGAACGTATGGTTCGATTAATGGGGCAAAAAAACAGTATTTTTATTCCACTTCAGCAACCATGGATGACTACATTTTACTATTGTTCAAACCAAACCACACTGGCTCCAGCGTTACTGAATAAAAGTGGCTTACACTTTTTCCACTCCTTTTACACGTAAATAATAACGTGCTTACATATTGAAAATCGTTAGAGACAATCAATTAAGACTGTTTGAAGAATAGCAAATTGATACCGGTATCCAATAAAACAAAGAATAACGGCATCAAGCCAAGTCACCTTCTTTTCGCAATATTCTACTACGATTCTTCCTCACAATCATGTTGCCTCTCATCAGACTAGTTATAAAGTATTGGTGGAAATTCTTTACAATATCACTTGTCATTTGCCAGGAGATTGTATTTAAATGTGGGCTAAAGTTTTATCACTAGAAAAGGATCATTAGTGGGCTGTGACGAAGGTCACCTACGTAAGCAAAATGTGAGTGAAAAGCGAGAAATGCTGTGAAAATATTTATTTTCCGTGCGACGGAGATTCGTAGTGTTCTATTTACAATTTATGTTGAGGAAAACTATAAATAAATGAAGACAAACTGCTACAAATTGCTGTGCAAAGTATAGGGTGACATTAGGTACCACAAACCCCCGCCTCTGCGCAGTTGAAAGCGTGTAGGAAGCTCGAAATTTGGTCATTTTTAATCAACCATAACTCTTCTAATTTGACACCAATCTTCACCCCGTTTCGAACTAAGTCAGTTCAACTATTGTTTTTAGCTAAAATCAAACTATTGAGGACGGCACGGAACGAGATATTGTATAGTAAGCTATCTAAAAGGGTCATCGAAATGCACGGGAATGCGTTTTTCGCGTCATTTTTCATGCCGGCCGCGGCGACAAAAATTTAGGGTGCCTCATAAAAAGCCTTCACGCTACGCGCCTATAACTGCTATCGTCATGAAACAAAAAGTGCACGAACGAGCTTTGAATCAGCTTTCACCCGGTACCAAGCCCTTGTTGCTAAAGTTAATTGTTGACCCAGAAATATCGGGAGTATTGGAACCTATTTTTAGAATGGAAATCTCCAAGTCTGACAAATGATTGGTAGAAAGAACCCTGGTCTACTCAAAAGTAGAACATGTCAAGGGAATCGTGTGCAAAAATGACTACGATTGGTCTGGCATCCGTTTAGCGCCGCTTGTTTTTGTAAACACACATGCTGGTCCCATCTCTGGCGACGCGCTTGATTCAGCAATGGCGAAGAATTTTTTACGTGCACTACTACCTATTTTCGATTACGCTCTATTCACGTACATAAGTACATATTAAGGGCTGCATTGTGCTTCCAATCATGGATAGGGATATTCAGGAGATGTGCGGTAAGTTGATTTTGTTAATTAGATTGTTATAGTGTTACATAGTTCTTCATAAAGTCATCAACCTTTGCCTGACCTAGATCTAGCTAGGGCTTGAAGCCGAGAT